GAGAGAGAGAGAAGTGAGAGAGGAAAAGAAAGGAGACAGGAGGGTGGGAGAGAGGCAGAGAAAGGGGGAGGGAGGAGAGAGAAAGAGCCAGTTGCTTTATTCATGGCTGGTGATATTATAGACTGAGTGAAAATCACATTATCGTAATGGGAAAGTTAGAGTTGCTGAGATGATGCCCTGAAGCCTCGGCGCTGATTGGGGTGTGATTGCTATCTGTATTTATATGTAGAAAGCAAAGTTCACTGCCAGTTCAAGATGGTGGCGGCTGCTTTATGCAACATAATTCTTCAGTAGGGAGACGCCCCGAGCAAGCAGAGCGAGCGGGGCCGGGAGTGGGAATGCGAACCCAGCGCAAGCGAACGCCTGAGCGGGCGCTGGAGCGGGCGCTGGAGCCCCGGGTGGAGCCCAGCGGAGCTCAGCTGCGGAGGACCGAGGTGGGAACCCGAAGGCAATCAAGGGAAGAGGACTGCAGGGGGCGGGGGACGGGAGAGCTTGGGGTAAGAAGGCGCTGCCCCCACCATCTGTCCCTTTCTGGCCAGCCCAAATGGGAAAGAAGAAGAGCTGGAGCCCAAAGTCAGGGCTGGACCAGAACTTCAGGAGTCCGGAGTGCTAAACCTTGGGGCGCAGGGGAGGGTAGTGGTGGAACATACACACTCACATACCCACGTCTTAGAAGAATTGGGCAGGGCTGAGTTCGCCTATGAAGGTTCCACCTTAGGAGTACCAGATCAAATACAGAACTGCCCATTTAAATTTGAATTTCAGATAAACAAGTGAAATTTTAGTATATTCATAGCCCATGCATTATTTGGGAATATACTTAAGAAATTATTCACTAAATCTGGCAGACCCTGCCCGTTGAGCTCAAATTTTATATTGATTTAGTGAGGAGGATTGTGCCCCTGAGTGGAAAGAGCCAGATTCACCACTTAAAAACTATGTGGCTTTGAACCGGTTTTGAATTTCCTAGAATTTCAAACTTCTTATCTAAGCAACGGGAGGTAATAATAATACCTGTATCACCAGATGGTTGTAAATATATAAAGAGATATAGTATGTAAAATGCTCACTCTGGGCTTGGTGTAGCTCAGTGGTAGAGTGCATGCAGAACATGTGCAAGGCCTGAGCTCCATTCCCAGCACTGGAAACAAAACAAAACAAAACAAAAAATTCAGTCCACTATTTGGCACAAATTAAGTACTGAGTAAATATCAACCTTCTTACATTCCCTTCCCATCTCTATCATAGGCTTCTTGGGAGTCAAATAATAGGCTTATATTAGGATTCCTACCCTGGAAGCTGATACCTGATCTTTGTATGGGGACCACTGGTGGGATGCTTGATTCTACAAGCTTGTCTGAGTTCTGAAAAGCTAATTTCAAAGATGAAACAGGTACTCAAAACAAGCCTATCCTTGACCCCAAACAAAGCCCCACATGTTTTTAGCTACCTCTTCTAAGTTTGCAGAACCTATCTTCCTTCGGGCTGAAAGCTTCCTTTTCTCCTGGCAGGGCGGGGTGGGGTTGATATGATACCCTGCCTACCTATGAGGATACACAATGAGTTTTTTTTTTTTTTTTAAAAGATGGGGATTAAACTCAGGGATGTTTTATTACTGAGCCACACTCCTAGTCCTTTTCTTTTCTTCTTTTTTTTTTTTTTTTTTAGGCAGAGTCTAGCAAAATTGTGAGGGTCTTGCTAAATTGTTTAGGCTGGCCTCAAACTTGTGATCGTCCTACCTCAGTCTTCCAAGTTGCTGGGATTACAGGCCTGTACCATCATACTTGGCTATAATGCACTGTTTGAGCAACCAGTTTTCCCAACAGCCATCCCATTGGGGTATCAGGTCAAAATCCCTTTCTATCCTCTAGCAGAAGACCATGTCCTAGATATAGGAGATGGAAACTGTGAGTTCCTGAGGGTCTCTGTGTTTGTTCTCCCTCCAGCTTGCCTATTTCAGGCTCAGCTCAGAACTGACTGAATGAGGGGTAGGGCCAATGTACAAAATACAGGTTCTGGAGTAGCCTCACCTGGGGTCCAGACACCCCTCACAGAATGATGGAACATATTTGCTTCCCTTACCAAAGGTGTTCCTGACTCTGAAAAAAAAAAAAAAAAAAAAAAA